AACATAATGTTTTTATTCCTTTGTTATTTTCTTGTGATACTCATGAGAGTATTCAGCACTCAATGAGCAGGAAATAACATTTTTGACTGACTCTCAGAAATCCTAGGATAGTCACCCTACTCATCTCAAGTCCTTGAATTTAATGAGTTGACAAGTAATATTTGGAATTGACAATGTTCACGGTTCTCTATTAAGCACTTCAGGCAAAGAGTAAGGAATAAATGGGATACTACTCTCAAACCACTTACAGCTAATGAGAATGATCTGTGGAGCATGAACAAACTTGGGCCCATGAAGGATTTCCCTGGTGCCTTTGATTCTGCTCCAACCCTTAGTGTATTGAATATGTGGCTGTTTACTTCACTTACCATCCCATTCAATCCAACTTCAAAAAGCATTTATTAAGCACACATCATGTACAAGACATTGGGATCAGTGGATACAAAGGAAAATAATGGAACAGCCACTGCTATCAAGGAACTTACATTCTAGAGGGAGGAAGGCAATCCTCTGTGTACCCAGATACGTAAATACAAGGCAGTTTTAGGAAGTGAAAAGAATGAATAACTAGAAGGACAAAGGAAAGCATAACAGAGGAGATGGCAACTGAGCTAACCCTTCTCAGTACCCAGATAAGCAGAGGTTTTAGGCATGGGATAATTTGGTTTCCGATTCATCTATTTCTCCTCTAATTTTAAATATCTTCTCTTTTGTTCTTATTTTAGCAAATACACAGAGAAGGAAAATAAAATGACAAGTAAGTGGAACATGTGGTAATCCAGTTTGGCTGAGATGTCAAGCTAAATGAGAACAATGGGGAATAAGGTTAGACAGCTAGTTTGAAGACAGAATGTAGAGGGCCTTAAATGCCAGGCTGAAGAATTTCTATTTTATTCTTTGGGCAACATGGGACCAGTTTCCTCATCTGTAACCTAAGGAGCTGGACTTGATGGTCTTTAAGCATCCTTTCAGCTCTAAATTTTTGGTTCTGTGATTCTTTGAAGGTTTTTGAACAGGAAAGTGGACATGGTCAGATTTATGCTTTAGGAAAGTTATTATGGCAGCTAGTTGAGGATGGATTGGCAAGTAGAGAGACTAGAGGTACAGCGACCAATTAGGAACTTATTGTAAAAGTTCAAGTTTATTATTGTAAATATATTATTATAGATAATAGATTATATTATATATATCATATATAGTTATATATAGACTATTATGAGAGTTTGGGAGAATTGATGAAGGCCTACACTAGGGCGATGGCTACATTAGTAAAGAGAAAGACACATATGCTTTAATACAGGACATTCCCCTAATGGTGCTTGGAGGTAAAAGCCTTGTTCAGACTTAGACTTTTGGCAATTCTGGTTATGTTGACCTTTTCTTAGGCTCATGTGCTTTCATTCTTATTAGCCATTAGTAATGAAGGCTTTCAGATTGTTTGATTCCAATTTTAGATTACTTCAGCTGCCAGCAAGCTCAGTATGATTCAATAGTTTGATTTGGTAGCCAAAAAAAAAATTGATGTTAGACTGAACTGAGAGGTATAGTCTCCAGAATGAGGGAGATATTGTCAAATCATTGTTTGTCTTGGTCAAATCACACTTGGAGCATTATTATATTTAGTTCCGGGCACTAGGCTTTAGGAAGTGCATTGACAAATTGAGGTCCATAGAAGGTAGATCAGGATGATGAAGGAGCTAAAAAGGATCATTTGAAAGAATTAGAGATTCCAAGGGTAGCAATATATAATGTGAATGTACTCCAGGGCTCAAGACTAGACATTTGCATAAGACTCTTCATATTGGTAGGGAGAATGATTACTCAACACTCAGTACCTGCATGAAGGCTGGAGTTGGTGAGGATGTAGGAGAGGAGAAATGCTTTCTTTTCTGGCTTCTGACTTTCACAAAAGACACCAGGTTCCAGGCTGTCTCCACAGAGAAGTCCCTGGAGGAAGAGAAAGAATCCAGGAAGAAGCCAACATGTAGAGAAGCCTGTGCCTTGAGAATACTTGTAGTTTAGGCTTGTTGAACTAGAGTCTTTGAGGGAATTTCCTTTTGGGTGAAATTGTTGTGGTCTAGGGGTGCTAGGAACCCTGAAATGCAAGGGTGCAGGGCAGGAATCTGCCTGGAAAGAATTTGACCACTCAAGTTTTCTTTCAATCAGAGACAAGGTTTATTGTGTTGCCAATAGAAGTGGAAAGGATTCTAAGAACCTTCCCATTTGATGAGGATGGGACTGATATTTTTATACAGAAAGAGTGTAGGAAGATCTGGATAGGATTAAGGAGTGGCAAGTGGCCTGGGGTGGGGCCAGGTGCAGACAATAGAAGGAGTTAAGTGGCTGGACAGCCATAGTGAAAGGGCAATTAATTAAAAGAATTATTGACTGGGATGGGCTGGGTACCTCAGGCAAATGCCAGAGATCTGGGTTCAGTGGCTTTGAGATCCAGGTCCCAAAGACAAAGTCTTTTTCTTTTAGTGGTCCAGCACAAATCCTCTTCCCATCAAAATCAGGGTCTCTCACCCTTGGTTGAACTGACATATCTTATTACTAGCTCTTCCAGTTAATGTGTTTACCTCAAGTGTGATCTAAAGTAATTTAGAATTGGCTTAGGGCACTAACTCCACTTTACATCTCCATCTGCTGCTCTGCCTGGTTTCTACTCCAGGAACAAGATGCCTTTCCCAGGATAAACTCATCACTTCTAAACTCACCACCATGCTGCTAACTCAAGCCTTGATTGACACCACCTTCCTCAGTCTTCTCTCCCCTCTGTTTGGAGGGCAGGGGAGTGGAGTACCAAACTCCTCGGGCATCCTGGGCCATTACCAGCCGTCTTCACCTTTATCTTGCCACTGGACTCCAATGATTTTGCAGGAGAGAGCAAGGTTGATACCTTTAGGCAGCACTGCCTCACTCAAATCAAATTCATGCGCAAGCCAAGATGTCAAGGTCGTGATGTCATTGGTCCTCTTCAAGAGTAAAGGAAGAAGAACAGCCGCAAGGGTTCTGCACAGAGAGAAGGATTTCCAGAGCAGGTGATGCGAACTAAACGTTGTCGCACATATTTCTTCCACCTGTGCTTCTCTGCTATTATGGTCTAAGCCTAAGGCTACTCCTCCCATGGATGCTGTGTGTAGTTGGGGGAAGGAGTGAAGCAGGTTCTTAGGAGAAGTTATCATTAACTTGTCTTTACTATGTTATCTGAGGGTAGGACCCCAACCTGCCTATTCAAACAGAAGTTGGGAAATGCAGGTTGCTGTTGTTATTGTTGATGTTCCTCGTCTTCCTCCTCTTCCTCCTTTTCCTCCTTCTATTTTTCCTTCTCTTCCTTCTCCTTCTCCTCCAATTCTCTCTTCTTCTTCTTCTTCTTCTTCTTCACCTTCTTCCCCCTCTTCCCCTTCTTCTTCTTCTTCTCCTTCTTCATTTTACTTCACAATTTACTTTTGTCCTGCCCAGTTTTCACTTTTGATTTCTTAAAATATAGCTCTGAAAAACAGGCTTTTAAAAAGCCTGCTATGTTTTAAATGGAGCTACTTTGACTGCACTTTTGAATCCAAATCATTCAGTTTTCATTGAATGGTCAATAATAGGCCCAGCTCATGCCTCTATGGCTCATTGTTTCGGTATAGATGGCTTCCAATGAGTATAAATAGCGATTGTTTTCTGTTTTGGCCAGAAATTCTGAGGGTCTTTCCCCTCCCAGAGTGATATCTTTGGGATGGTAAATTGGGCCATCTTTTGTCTCAATTCTTACCTAGCTCTTAGTTATTGAATGGGTGTGGCTTCAGACAAACTGAAACCTGTGAAAGACCTTAATTTAGAAAAACCAAGGTCACCCACTGAATCCTAGGCCATCACCAGTCCTTTGTCTTGCCACCGGACTTCAATGACTATGGAAGAGAACACAAGTCTGACAACTTTGGGAAACTCTGCCTCACTCAAATCCAATTCACAGGCAAGTCAAGACATCATGCTCATGATGTTATTGGTCCTCTTTGAGAATGAAGGATGAACAACAACAACCTCCCAATACCTTCCTTTAGAAAGGGAAGAAACTGAACTCAGCTCTCTCTACTTTGCTGCTGCTGCTCTGCCTGGTTTCATTTCCATGGAACAAGAAACTCTTTGCTCTCTCTCTCTCTGTCTCTCTCTCTCACCACCACCACCACTTTCCTCTCTCTTTTTGTAAGTTGTAAGCTTTAGATTGTAAGCTCCTTGAGGACAGAGACTATTTTTTATTAATTGTATCCCTAGCATTTAGTACAGTGCCTGGCACATAGTAGGTGCTCAATAAATGTTGATTGGATTGGATTGGCCATTTTGAACTTGTTGCAGTCTATGGGTACTGGGAACCTCAAAATTCAAGGACAAAAGAGGTCCTGCCTTGAAAGAATTCGATTCAATCCCTCTTTCAGTCAGAGACAAGGTTTATTAAAACACAAGTTGGGGTGGTTGAGATTCCTAGGGAGTCTTCACTATTGGCCAGATTTTAAGAATTAAGTGTGGGAAGTGGCTGGGGGCAATCTGGAGGTAATAGACAATGAAGGGTTGGGCTAGGTTAGAGGTAATAGAGAATTGGAAACTGGGGCAAAGTCAAAGCTACAATGCAAGGATAGTTCAAAGTATTATACTGAAATAAGCCTTAGGCTAATGCGTAGGCCAGGTGTGAAAGTGGGGGGGAGGGGGGAAGTCAGGGCCCATACCCCATCAAACTAACACGTCTTTGGTCCTTTCACTTTTCCTCAAAACTTTCATCTGAAAACAGGGAGTGAAAATGAAAATTATGGTATATAACATGTTGAAATTTTGGGTGGTATAACATAAATTAATTGCCTTATTTCCTACATTATATTACATAGTTTAGATAGGATTAAGAAAGTTGAGGAAAATTAAAGTTATAATATTGGATTCAAGTGGAATATACCCTCGTGTATTTTTGTTTATTTTCAAACACGTCAAACATTCAAAACAAAAGGCAAATTTGGTGATGGTCTTCATCCAAATATGGCATTATCTACAAGATAAAAAAAAAAACACAAGAGTTTTTAAGTGACTTATAAGAATATATATGAGTAGATTTCTATTATGATAAATATGCATGAAGATCTATATGTGCATATAAAATATATTTGTAATTACCTGGATAAAACCTATAATATTTTATTTTTATTGATTTTGAAAATCCCATTTTCCATGTGTTTAAATAAATACATACATACCTTCCTTCATGCTACAAGCTCATATGGTTGGTCACGAAAGAGGTCAGCATAATCTGTTAGTCCTACAAAACAGCAACTTCCACATCCTCATGGATCATTAACTATCTTTCTTGTCCTCTCTGCAGCCTTTGATATTGTCAATCACCCTCTTCTCCTTGATACTCTTTTCTCTCTCGGTTTCTGAGATACTCCTCTCTACTTCTCCTCCTATGTGTTTATTTCTAAAGCAGAAGTTTCACCATGCCATCCCCTCTACTCAGTTAAGTCTAGTGGCTCCCTATTGCTTCCAGGATCAATATAAAATCCTCTTTTTGACTTTTAAAGCCTTTTGTAACCTTGTCCTTCCTACCTTCCCAGTCTTCCTACTCTTTAAACCCCACCCATGTACTCTGTGAACCACTGATACTTTTCTTCCTTGCATTAGACACTCCATTTCCTCAATCTGTTCATTTTCTCTGATGCATTTAACTCTCTCCCTACTCATCTCTGTTTCCTAACTTCCCTGGCTTCCTTCAAGTCTCAGCTAAAATCTTATCTTCTGATTATCTGCAATTTATCCTGCATATTTTCTTTGTAGATAGTTGTTTGCATGTTGGCATCTCCTCCATTAGATTATAATATCCTTGAGAGCAGAAACTGTCTTTTATCTTTCTTTATATTCCCAGAGCGAGATTGGTTAGCTCAGTGCCTGGCTCATAGTAAGCACCTGATAAATGTTTGCTTTTTGACTGATAGCAAATGTCTAAGGAGTGATCTGAATTCAGGTCTTTCTGACTCTAAGACCATGCTCTCTGCTATAGCATACTGCCTTTCTTTGTTACTGTTCTCACTTTCAACCCTAGATACAGAGCATGGTAAAAGGATAAGTGCTTGAACAGGTATACGGGTTTCTGAATTTATGCTTTTGACTACCTTTTTTTTGTTTGCTTTTAATATTACTTTCTTTTTGTCGTGGATTAGTCATATGTATGTGATATTTAATAAGAAGTTAGACAATCACCTTACTGGTATCTTATCAAAAGCAAGACCATTGATTTTGGATTGGGGGCAGGGGCTTGGGAAAAGCATAGCAGGAAATAAAAGGTAGTATTTACAGAATGGGGTCTTTTTTTTCCTGATTACGTCTTGTGGGCTGAAAAAGATTCTTTAGAACTTGGCCTAGAGGACTCTTACTAGTTAAACTGTAGGCAGACTGGATTTAAACTGTCTCTCCAGAAAGAAATTCAGCCTAGGGGCAGCTAGGTGGCCCAGTGGATAGAGCTCTGGCCTTGGAGTTAGTAGGACCTGAGTTCAAATCCTGGCCTCAGATACTTGACACTTACTGGCTGTGTGACCCTGGGCAAGTCACTTAACCCTGATTGCCTCACCAAAAAAGCAAAAAAAAAAAAAAAAAAAGAAAGAAATTCAGTCCAGAAATGAGACAATCTGGGAAGATAGCAGAGATAGAGACATAATAGATTTACAACTAGAAAGAGATCATCTCATCTAAGCTCTTCATTTTACCAATGAGAGCACAGACAGTTTAAGCAACTTGCTCACGATGGCATCAGTATTGAGGTCAGAATTTGAACCCAGGTCCCTTAATTCCAAACCCAATGCTTTTTCCACCATGTAATATTGAATGTAATCAAGGGGGGGAAAATCACATGGAATCATAGAAACTTATCAGTGAAAGGAACACTGATGGTCATCTAGTTCAACCCTCTGATTTTACAAGTCTAGTTGGCTTCCCTACCCCCATCCCCAACCAAGGATATAATCACCTAAAGTAAGGGGAAGATAATGACGTGTTAAACCAAGTATGAAAGATGTGTCTATTGCCATGTATCTGTTTTAACAAAGTGTGAAGTCCCTTGATCTGGAATTGGAAAGGTCACAAAGCATGAAGTCACTTGATTGAACTGGAAGGGTCAACCGCCATTGGCTAGCTGAAGACTTGTCATACACATTGTGACCTGTAAAAAGTTTGTTTGCAGGGGACAGCTAGGTGGTACAGTGGATAGAGCACCAGCCCTGGATTCAGGAGGACCTGAGTTCAAATAAGCCTCAGACACTTGAAACTTACTAGCTATGTGACCCTGGGCAAGTCACTTAACCCCAATTGCCTCACCAAAAAGCAAAAAAAAAAAAGTTTGTTTGCTAACACTACAATCAGTTCAGTCAGAAGCCAATAGGTAAGAACCCAGTCCTTGAGAAGGTGAGTCCATTTTTCTCATGGATACTGTTTTTATGGAAGAGTATGCCCCATGGGCAGGGGATAATTTGTGGCTAGTTCTATTAACTGTATCATTTTAATAAAATTTCTTTGCTTTGAGCTCATTGTATTTACTAGCTGACTATTAAAGGAAAACTCGTAAATGGGGGCTTGTAAGTTTTAGTTTTAGGAGTATGGACCCACAGACTCACATTACTGAGCAGCTGTCTTCTGGGGAAGCAACCTGGAGGGGTGCCACATACATGACTGCTGCTTTTAAATGTTTACAGACTTGTCCTGGAGTCTAAGAGATTATAGTACGGTGGATAGAGTGTCGACTCTATAGGCTCAGGCTTCATTTAAACTCTGTGCTTGCTTACCACCTGTGGAACAACTTTAGGAACAAGTGGTCACTTCACCTTTCCAGGCCTGTTTCTTCATCTCTACATCTGTGGGGGTTGGACTAAACAAGTCTCTGGAGTAATTTCCAGCTCTATGCTCCTGTGACCCCCGGGGGCAGAAAGAAGATTAAGCAGATAGAAATTACTGAGGCGCAGATTTTTAACTCAATAGAGGAAACTTAAAAAAAAAAATTGGCCCCAAATGGAATGGATTGCCTAGACAGTCAGTGAATTTCCTGCCACTGGAGTGTCTCCAAGTGGAAACTGTAGAATATGTTTCAGGAGCATTATCCATGCCTCAGACAGAGACTAAAAGATATTCTCTTGTGTCCTTGCCAGCTCCACAATTCTATCATTCTACAATAATTATCTACCACCTTAGAAATTTTAAGATAGGGAAATGACACCATATCATTTCGTTACCCAATCTGTTATCCACTCCTTCACATTCAGATATACTCTTCATTTATATTTTGCTACCTGATTATTTCTGCTATATATCCTTCAACTGTCTTTGAGCATCCAGTTCCAGTTACTTACTTCTCGGTGGAAAATGTCTCTTCTGGACATGAACAGGTTGGGATAGATCTGCCCAGGAGCTCCTGCCTGTGTCAGAGTTAGCAGTCTGCCTGATTTCTTCAGTGGCCATGTGTAAAGTCTGTAAAAAATGTCTCTTCTGAGGTCTCAGCCAGGTCACATCATTCCTTCCTTCCACCATGCACCAGGTATTCCTTTTTTCATTCATCTCCAGCACACGCTTGCTCACTTTAGGTGCTTTAGACATTGTAGTTAATGTTATGTTAATAAATGCTCAACTATAAGTAAACCAATCTAGGTTTGACACCTGTGGAGAGAGAATGATATTCTATGAGGTCACCATAAAATGCCAATTTCATAGCAAACAGTGGAAAGAGAAGTAATCACAAGGAAGCAGGCTCTCCTGTTAGCACTCTTGCCTTTTCAAATCCAAACAAAAGCACATTTATATAATCAAGATTCTCTAATGTCAGTCTCTGGCAGATAGGCGGCGCCATAGTGCACAGAGTGCTGGCCCCAGAGTCTGCAAGCCTCATCTTCCTGAGTTCAAACCTGGCCTCAGATATTTACTAGCTGTGTGACCCTACAAGTCACTTAACCATGTTTGCCTCAGTTTCCTCATTTGTAAAATGAGCAGGAGAAGGAAATAGCAAACTGCTCTAGTAGCTTTATGAAGAAAACCCCAAATGGGGTCACTAAGATAGGACACAACTGAACAAAAACAACAGTGTCAGTCTCAGGTTTTTTTGGGGTGAAAGATGTTCTTCAACCAGCAGGAGCATGAGGGACACCCAGTTGAAGTCCTCGGGACATATTATCCTTCCCTGGAGTCCCCCCAGTTCTACTGCCATGGCCTTTTCCTCTATCCTGTGACTGTACTGAGGGGCAGTGTTGAAGACCATACAGCTAAAAAAGGATGGGGGCTTTGAGAATTTGCTTTTTCGGGGGGGGGGAGGGGTGGAGCCAAGATGGCAGAGGGAAAGCAGTGATTTGCTTGAGCTCTCCCCCAAACCCCTCCAAATACCTGTAAAAAATGGCTCTAAATAAATTGTAAAGCAGTAGAACCCACAAAAAACAAATTTCCAGCCTAAGACAGCCTAGATGGTTGATGCGAAAGGTATATCGCACCGGGCGGAGAGGGGAGCACAGCTAAGCGTGGGTGCGCAGGCCACAGCGACCCTGGCGCAGGCCTCAGAGGGCTGAATCATGGGCAGCTGTGGCGGTTTCCAGACTTCTCAACCAACAAACACCAAAGATTACTTGGAAGGTCAGTGGGAAAAGTCTGTGACTGTGGTGAGAGAGGAGCTAGGTCTCAGTCACCCCCAGGGCAGTGGCTGCCTGCTGAGCTTCAGGCCCACAGACTAAGGGGGAATCAAGTGGCTGATCAGAGAGGCATTACAGGGATCTCTTTGCCAGTTCTGAGGCAGGAATCTCTTGCTTTGCCCGTGCTTGGATCTGGGTCACAGTTCTGAGGGGCAGTCCTGGGGCGAGAACGAACTCTGGTGTTGTGAAGCTTCTTGTGGCAGTGGAGAGAAAACACCTCACCCCTTATCATAGCACCTTGGAAGAACTAAAAATTTTCAGGTCCCTAGAATTAGCTCTGAAAACAGCTGTACAAACCCCTGAAGCTTGGACAGTACACTCTTCACATTGGAAGCAGACTTATACCTTAACAAAGAGTTTAAAACTCAAGTAATTGGCCAGGATCGTGAGTAAGCAGCACAAAAAGAGTCAGACTATATTATCTTACTTTGGTGACAAAGAAGATCAAAACATACAACCAGAAGAAGACAACAAAGCCAAAGCTCCAACATCCAAAGCCTCCAAGAAAAACATGAATCAGTCCCAGGCCTTGGAAGAGCTCAAAAGGGATTTTGAGAAGCAAGTAAGAGAAGTAGAGGAAAAACTGGGAAGAGAAGTGAGAGTGATGCAAGAAAATCATGAAGAACAAGTCAACAGCTTGCTGAAGGAGACCTAAAAAAATACTGAAGAAAATAACACCTTAAAAAATAGCCTAACCCAAATGGCAAAAAGAGGTCCAAAAAGCCAATGAGGAGAAGAATGCCCTAAAAAGCAAAACTGGCCAAATGGAAAAGGAAGTCCAAAAGCTTACTGAAGAAAATACTTCCTTAAAAATTAGAATAGAGCAATTGGAAGCTAGTGACTTTATGAGAAATCAAGACAGGGTAAAACCAAACCAAAAGAATGAAAAAATAGAAGAGAATGTGAAATATCTCATTGGAAAAACAACTGACCTGGAAAATAGATCCAGGAGAGAGAATTTAAAAATTACTGGACTATCTGAAAGCCATGATCAAAAAAACAGCCTAGATATCATCTTTCAAGAAATGATCAAGGAAAACTGCCCTGATATTTTAGAACCAGAGGGCAAAATAGAAATTGAAAGAATCCACCAATCACCTCCTGAAAGAGATCCCCAAAGGAAAACTCCTGGGAATATTGTAGCCAAATTCCAGGGTTCCCAGGTCAAGAAGAAAATATTACAAGCAGCCAGAAAGAAACAATTCAAGTATTGTGGAAACACAATCAGGATAACACAAGATTTAGCAGCTTCTATATTAAGGGACCGCAGGGCATGGAATATAATATTCCAGAGGGCAAAGGAGATAGGATTATAGCCAAGAATCACCTACCCAGCAAAACTGAGTTAATCCTTCAGCGGAAAAAATGGTCATTCAGTGAAATAGAGGACTTGCAAGCATTCTTGATGAAAAGACCAGAGTTGAATAGAAAATTTGACTTTCCAATACAAGACTCAAGTGGAACATGAAGAGGTAAAAACAGGAAAAAGAAATCATAAGAGACTTATTAAGGTTGAACTGTTTACATTCCTGCATGGAAAGATGATATTTGTAACTCATGAGACCTTTGTCAGTATTAGGGTAGTTGGAGGAAAAAAATTTTATGTATGTAGATGGATAGATAGATAGATAGAAAGATAGAGGGCACAGGGTGAGTTGAAGATGAAGGGGTCATATCTGGAGAATAAAATTAAGGGGTGAGAGAGGAATATACTATGAGAAGGAGAAAGGGAGAGGTAGAACGGGGTAAATTATCTCACAAAAAACAGAAAAGAAAAGGCTCTTACAGTGGAGGGGAAACAGGAAGGTGAGAGGGAATGCGTGAATCTTATTCTCATAGGATTTGACTTAAGGAGGGAATAACATACACACTCAATTGGGTATGAAAATCTGTCTTACCTACAGGATAATAGGGAGGGGAAGGGGACAAAAGAGTAGGGGGATGATAGAGAGGAGGGCAGATTGGGAAAGGGGGTAATCAGAAGCAAATACTTCTGAGGAGGGACAGGGTCAAAATAAAGAATAGAATAAATGGGGGGGTGGGATAGGATTAAGGGAAATAGAGTTAGTTTTTCACAGCATGTCTACTATGGAAGTGTTTTGCATAACTGCACATGTATAACCTATATTGAGTTGCTTGCCTTTTCAATGAGGGTGGGTGAGGAGGGAGGAAGGGAGAAAATTTGGAACCCAAAGTTTTAAAAACCCATGTTCAAAAAAAAGATGTTTTCACATGCAACTGGGAAATAAGAAATACAAGAAATGGGGTACAGAAATCTATCCTGCCCTACAGGAAAATAGAAGATGAAGGGGTTAAGAGAAGGGGGGGAGAGATAGAAGGGAAGGCAGACTAGGGGAAGGGGTATTTAGAATGCATGCCATCCTGCGGTGGGGGGAGGGGCAAGATGGAGTGAAAATTTGGAACTCAAAATCTTGTGGAAGTAAATGTTGAAAACAAAAAATAAATAAATTTATTAATAAAAAAAACAGTTTTTCTCTCTACAAAATCAGGAGGCAATGAAAAGGAAAAACAAGAAGCCACCACAAATGACTGAAAGTGCAGAGGTGTTTGATAATTCTACCTTCAACATCATAACTACGAACATTTACATCTGGTTTTAACCTGGATCTTTTGAAATTTAGATTGCTTGGGGCAGCTAGGTGGTGCAGTGGATAGAGCACTGGCCCTGAAGTCAGGAGGACCTGAGTTCAAATCTGGCCTTAAACCAAAGACTTGACACATACTAGCTGTGTGACCCTGGGCAAGTCACTTAACCCCAATTGCCTAAAAAAAAAGAAACAAATAAAATTAAATTTAGGTTGCTTCAGCCGTTCTAAGGCTGAGTCACCTCAACACTGAGTGAGTATAAAGTTAAAAGAAAAATTTCAAATTTATCTGTGATTCAACTTGTGAGTCATTGTTGCTGCATTTTCTCCTTCGTAAATAAAGTCAACAGTAATTTGCATAAATATTTTATTTTCCTTACTTCACCTTTAAAATGAACGGTTTTAAGGGTCAGCTAGGTGGTGCAGTAAGGGACAGCTAGGTGGCACAGTGAATAGAGCTCCAGCCTTGGAGTCAGGAGGACCTGAGTTCAAATCCGACCTCAGATACTTGACACTTACTAGCTGTGAGACCTTGGGCAAGTCACTTAACCCCGATTGCCTTACCAAAAAGCAAAAATATAAAATGAACATTTTTTCCTGTGATTGTTAGTAGTTTACAATTCTTTTGAAAATATACATACAGCTATCCCTTCCACAACATCGGGTGGGAAAGGTAGGAGGGGTGGAATGGAGTTACGAACATGGCACCCCTGTGATCTGGAAAATCCACATAAATTTTTTGGCCTTCCCTTCGTACCAGAGAAAAAATCTGAATTTTTTCTTTTTCTTTTATGGGGTGTCTATAGTACCTTATTGTAAAATTTGGATTAAGTATTTAGGTCATAGGCTCTGTGTTGTCTACTGGCCTTCACATGGCTTCCATAAAATTCCCCCAAAATTCCCATTTAATGTCTTATGCCAACCTGCGATACATAGAAACTGCAATGGGGAAAGTCGTGATGTGAAAGGGATAACTGTATTTGTGTCCAATAGTGGCCATGGTGGGTGGGGGGGGAGAAAAAAGAAATTTACATGATAACTTTATTATATATTTAAAAGGAATGACAAGTTGTATGTAATAGATCTGCAATCATGTGCAATCATCTTTTTATTATACTATGTTATGGAAATGCTTATTTTATTCTGTAAACTGAAAATAAAACAAATAAAATTTTTAAATTCTTCATGAAAATTCTTTGACCACTTATTCATTGGGAGAATGGCTCTTGATCTTATACATCGGTGTTAAATTCCTTGTATATCTTTGACTGATTTCCCATATCAGAGATATTGAATGCAAAGATTTTTTTTTCAGTTT